GTTTCCAAATAAGTTGAAAAGCTATTTCAAGAAGTTTACTCCGGAAATTATAGAAAATAATAGTTCTATGGCAATAAATGCAAACTGTATCGATATAATGATGATTTCGATCTTCAGAACGAACGTTTGCCAATATGCGAAGTAGACGAGCGTTAGAATGCACGGCGCTGCGAGAAAAATCGATATTGCCATAGGAAAAGGTGCTTCCGTCAAATTTCCTTTGATGCCTTAAATGCAGAAAGCCGATATATCAAACAGTCGTTATTCAAAGCTTACCAAAAAAAATGCGTAAAAACTCTATTCCGCTTCCAAGTAACAGCAACAACACTTCAACGGTGATTGTTCTTACCGGGTACCACAGATGAATTCCTGTCCATATTATAATGTGATTATTCACGGTTTATTAAGAAAGTGAAGCCACCTTTGTATGCAAAGATGATGATTTCCAGCAGCAGAAGGAAACAGTAGTAATATTTATTGAAGTAAAAGCAAAGTTGCAATGCGAAAGACGATCTCTAAAGGAAATCGATAGTCCGCTAACGGTTTGTTTACACTTACTACCAAAGATCCGCCTGTGCCTGCAAAAGAGTATAATTCTGAGACTAACAGACGATAAGAGACGATCTTTTCGACAAGCGTACAAACGAACAATTGAATTACAAAAGCGAATTACAAATTTATCATAAAATTCTACGTCTTATTGTTATACTAATAGAGAAAGACATCGATACTACCTTTAATGGACGTGTACAGACTGATACAGGCTATCACGGTGCAATAGTTCTGGCAAGATTTTCGGACGGTTCCAAGAAGAATCGGAAAATAGCTACTCACCCGAGAGGCCGAAAAATTGGGGGTGGGCTAGAAGTAACGTGGAAAAATTATCACAAAGATCTCTGCCCCACTCGGTTTATCTTCTCCTGAAGCTCAGATGCTGGTATAGAATTCGAAACGTTGGACACTTTGTGAATGTCATCTTCAGCGACCGGAAAGAATAAAATGAGTAACACTATAATAAAGGAGGTATTTTAATGCAGATGATGTGTGAATCAATTTTAACTTTACAACGGACTGATTAACAGCACAGCATATGCGTAACTCAAAAACTTTTGTATAAATCTGTTTAACTTGAAAAGACTCCCTGATGCCGATCTGCGCGTTGCAATAAATAATTGCTATACTATATTTAAAATTTTAGGCACTAGAAAGGATTCTGATTAACGACGAATTGAACCAAAATTACCTCGGTGTGTCGCTATTGGCATTTTACGATGAAGGCTTATAGTTGGCTGGAAGGCGGCGGCAGTGGCGGTGGCAGTGGCGGTTGCTATAGTAACCGTGCATAGGCGAATGCAAATGTACAATTCAGCCTTGTCAGTTAAAATTGTTTAGTATCATGGACAAAGAAGTAAAGTTCAACAACGTGCAATGTTAAAATACATATCTAAGATTAGAGGAAAGTGGCAAACGGATTAGTAGGTTTCTGTGTACGTTAAAGCGAAGAATTTAAGCTCAAGGTTGGGCGTAAATATTTCGTCAGTAACTGAGAATTGCCTTGTGCAAAGAATTTCTTCCGCTATGCTTCGCAGAAAAAAATCCTTCCACTACAAGTTGAAAAAAAACGGATGTGAGGTCGTAGACCTCCGAACAATAGAGACAACATGATGCGGCTAGCGTGGTCATGGTAAAGCTTACGAGTCGTTAAGGTCGTGCTGTCTGATGGGTGCTGTTCGCGGCTACAATTAGCACAGACACATCACATTGCTGATTAAAATTCATTTGGAACCATTGGCGTAAAAATAAAAGAAATGAACGAAATGCAGTTAGTTTCTTTCGAGACTTCATTCAAGCTTTAAAAGTTTCGTGTGCCTTAGATTATACAAAAATTGAAAGGTTGAGAAAGCAACACAATTTAGTGATTTCAGAAGATTGTTTTTTATAAACGCTCCTCATTGGTGCAATCGTGTTGGTAGCATATTTTTTATACATTATGCACAAAAGCAACATGAAAAGTAGGAACAAATCGCAGTCGTTGAGTATTCGTGACGTGAAAAGATTAGTTTGCCTAAGAATCTTAGCGTCTGTCGAACGAAAGCAGTTGAAAGGTGACAGGATAGACCGTAACCGAAACCGTGGTTGTTAAGTTGGTTAATGAGGTACTATACAGTCGTAGATTAGTCATTGAAACGTGACTTTCCTTGATCATCATTTGATCGTCGTCGTCGTCCAACTATGGTGGTACGGAATGTCGGTGGCCAAAGTATGCGCGGGTGTGAAAATTATGCACCGCACTATGAATTAGGTGAACGGTGGTGACGGTTGCAGTTTTGGCGGAAATACTGCACCACAATATAACGGCGGCACAGTCAGAAGTTGTGGCGTCGCGCCGCGTCGCGTCGCGTCTCTTCGAGGTGGTGATAGTGGTGGTGTATGGTTTTGTTGATAATTCAACTGCGCGTTAATTGTAACAGTTGCACAGGAAGTCGTGTTTAAACGTTCGATCGGATCCGACTTTGTGACTTTGTGATTTTGTAATCATTATTTGTTTCGTGAAGTTGGTTGCAGTTCGAAACTGGTTCGTCTCGTCGTCGTCATCGTCGTCGTCATCGTCGTCGTTCGTGTGTATTTTTACGGGGCGCGTGGCGGTGGTGGTGATGATGGTTGGGTTGATTGGTGAGCATACGCGGCGGCGACTTCGACGGCGACGGCGACGGTGACGGTGACGGTGAAACGTTACGACTATCACGATGACTACGACTACAACATTTTAGTGTACGAATAAGTTGACGTCCGACCGACTTTGGTTGGTGCGTTGTGCATTCGTTCGTTCGTTCGTTCATTCATCCGTCCGTCCGTCTTGTTGCATTCGTTGCTGTTTGTTCGGTGGTCGGTGGTCAGCGACCGGCATTTGTTCGTTTCCGCGACCTCGTGGTGCTGCCCATTTGTCGCTGCTTGCGACGACCGTACTTCGTGTGACCGACGCTAGCCGTCACCGTTTTGCTGCTTCGGATCAGATCAGTCGGACCAAGCAGTTCGAAACTCGAAACCAAGCAATCAAAAATCCAGATCCGTCAAGTTTCTAGTTCGTTTCGATTCGTTTCTTGTTCTTCGATCGTCTTGCTGAACACGAATCGTCCCTGTCGTTTTCTTCATCTCTGTCGTCGTACTGGTCTTTTCCCACTTCGTACTTGCCTTCATCGCCATGCCGTCGAAGCCGGTAAGACGAGAGTTTTGTTCATTTCTTTGTTCAAGCGCCTTTGCTATTTCGTTTAAACTTCTTTCCACCAGCTGATCTGTTTAATACATGATTAGGATTAAGATCAAGCGACGACGACGACGACGACGACGATATCTCGGTCGCCGTATCGTCGGCGGTTGCCCCCGTCCATTGCTGAACATGTTTCGGCTCGCCACATCGTCGTCTCGGCGCCGCTCTGCGCGCTGCAGTCCGCACATTGCACTGAATACTGAGCCTCGTCGTGACCATATCGTCACTGCCATGCGCTTGCCAACCCATCGGTTGTTTGCCAGACCTGTATACTTTAAAGCAATAAGCCGATAAAATTAAAACTTACATTCAGAATTAAAAGGAAAAAAACAAAGCAAACAGTCGTCATCACTCCTTACCGTTACCTGCAGAACATGATGTTTCTTTAATGTGATTTATACATAATTTTTATCTAGCCTTTTTATCTTGTTTCTTGCATCGTAAACCTCCATTTATTTATTTGTGTGCTGTCATATTGTTTTTTAACCATTTTGTGCGTAACAACAGTAGCTTGCACTTAGGTGCCGGATGATCGGACGACCTATCGATGACTCATTCATCATTCGATGATGGTCGTCCACCGATAATGGAAAACTCCGCGACTAGCGTTACGCGTTATACTTCTCTATTTTCATATTCACGGACAATCAGTCATTAGTCGGTTATAGTTTTGCATAGCCGGTTTCAAACTGCGAGAATCAACTATCGTGGCATTTTCGCCTCTACAGTCCGTCAGTCGATCGATGAAATCAAGCCTTTAGGGGATGTCATCGCAGTTTTTCATCAGTATCATTTGTTTTTTCTCATAATAATACAAAAATATCAATATCTTCCATCAGATCCTGTGCCTACTCCTTAATATGATTTTAAATAAGTAATTTTTTGAAGTAAATTAATAAGTCATTCACCGATCAAAATGCATGTCATACGGCACTTTCCAACGATTAATTTCTGGTAGGGTACATATAACATTGTTTAGTAGTAAGCACTGACTAGCACTACGCAGGAAATGATTCTGTCTACTTTCATCATAAGAGTATTACCTGCCTCCATATAAAGTATTACCGCAAAAAATTGGTACGTAATTCGTGTAGAACGTAATAAACAATACTCTAAGACTGAAAGATACATCAGAGTGTGAATTACATTAGAGGAAATATCACTGACGTTCATGACTGTGACTGATGAAAATTTCCTCATGGTAGGAACCCTCACATCAGTAGGCTATAACATATATGCGAAGCCAAAGTATAATATATTAAAGTATCCCTTCAACTGTAGAGATGAAACCGTCTTTAGCAGTCTTCGGTATTATTCACGAATTACAATCCTCAGATCTCGCGATTGCTCCAATACGGCGCCCCAATAGTGGAAAAATAATCTCCCGTTAAAGCTCTAAGAATTTACTCAAGGCGCATTTGTAATAAATAATAAATACCATTATGTAGCACCTATTGAGCCGGCAGCACAAGCACAAGTTAAATTGGGCTCCATGTAAACGTAAACGCCCAAGGTATTAGTTTGTTTTCTTCACTCTGTTAGTGATGTAAAACGTGCAAGTGCATTATATTCCTAGCATTTCACAAGGGGACATTAAGCCTTTCCTCGTTTACCTCTGTTTAAATATACACAAGACTTGGTTGGTGGATTCAGCATCGAAACATCGTGAGTTCAAGCCATCTTTATTATCATTGACCTTTCGTTATTTCGAAGTAAAGAGTAATCAAAATACTCTTGGGGGAAGAAACAGTGACCAACAACACAGTGTGTTTTCGCATGGCTGTAAACGTTTCCTTTATGGTGAGGCATTCCTGTTGACAGTGTAGACCGAGATCAGCGTCGTTCCATAATTTGAAAGAAAGTAAGAAGTGATGCACATCGCGAAGGTATAATGGCGAATGGCATTGCAGTGATTATATACATGTTTCTGTTTTCGTTTCATTTATCAGCGCAGATAACCTCTAAAACTTTGGTCAAATCAAGGTAAACCTGCCTATATCGTGACGCACAAATGCAAGATAAACTACTTAGTTGACTAGTTTCCCGATAGCGCATTTAAAGTGCCAAAACTTATAAACTTTTAATACGAATATTAAAATTTTATTTAACGTCGTTTGCAAAACGGGGTACAAAAAGACAGAATGCTTCGTCATTTTAAACGTGTATATCCGACGATGTAGGAATTTTTCCTGCAAAGAAATATTTCAATTTATTGGACAGGTGTATTTTTCAAAATTCTAAACTTTTTCGTTGGATTAAATTAGAAATTTCAGTGGCTGTTCATGGTTGCAGTTATTTTGTAATACTGTTATTTCGACCTGCGTTTCGTTATAAATGCATCATCGTACTTTTGATACCTTGCCCTAATATCAAAATGATTCAGTTTGTATCTGCACCTCTGCACGAAAACAGAGCTGTCATACAAAATGACGAGACGACATCTACTCCAGGGTTGATCCTGTCTACAGGTGGCTCTTTACTTTGAAGTGCAGCATCTTACTCCAGATTTAACGGTTGTTGGGAACTCGTTGAATGTGAATTTAATCATTTAAATAGTAAAATCAGAAAAACTATGTGACTAGATTAGTGTTTGCAAACTTTAATCCAAAATGTGTCTATATCACCTTAAATGCTTCCTGCTTAAAACGGGCAGGTATCATAAATTCTTAGCAGCCTGCAGTTTTGCGGTGCGGTTGAAGATGATAATGACACAGCAAAAGGGACTAAACACGCATAGATTGTTAGCCATGAGGATGGCTAATGTTGTTTGGCTGAAACGTCTGCAGTTGTAATACAGTAATTTTACCGTCTGTTTATTCCTTCTCTGATTGATTGATGCATCCCTGATTAACGTTGATGCATCATTTTTTCAGATTGCAAATTCCTCACTTGTTTCGGTTTAATTCGGACCGGCTGTTGTCGTCTGTTAGTTTTTTTGTCACCCACTTTCAAGGGCTGCAATGTATTTTTTATCGGACGAGTTTCTCGTCAGTCGCACTGTATTCCATTCATTTGTCATGATGGCTTTGACTTTGCCATGAAGCCATCGTTCATTCTTCTCGGTTGAAGACTAATTCTTGTTGCCATCTTTTAGACAATGCGGACTCAGTGGCGGATTATCATTCCGTATTCTCATGCAGGCTAATCGGTGGTCAGGCACACTGAGGGTGATTCAGTCCTTGTATACTGCAGTCAGTCGCTTCGGAGCCATTAATTCATCTGTTGTTTGCCTCTATTTGACAGCGATTCGTGTTGTCATTTGATTACTAGTTACCCACTGTCAGTGGTCGCTGACTAATAAATTCAACGTTAGTCACTAGAGCTTCATTATTCTGCTATATTCGTGGCAGTCGGTAGGGTGACTTTAAGTCACCTGTCGCTTATTTAAGGTTTAGGCCCATTTTTTATCGTCTGTTCCTAAGTGATCACTGACTACTTCTTGAAAGGGATCATTGGCAAACTATCCCTAGAGCCACGCGATGCGATCATCATGTGTTTGTGGCATGGTAGATTAGCATTAAGTTATTTCTCCTTGAGTTTAACCAAGGTTCTGGTCTGCAGCTGGAATTCGTCGCCCACCTATTAGATAGTCGGTCACTAATTACCTTTTGAATGGCATGACTGTCTGTGTATGAGAAGGGCTGCGCGATCGCATTATATTCTATACAGCTTCAGTAATTACTTGCTTAAGGGTTAAATAATTAAGTGTTCATTTATTTTCTTATGAGACCGATTGTGTGGTTATTCGATACTCTGTTATACACTGGAATAACTAGGGCCGTATTGCTCAGTCGATAAAGCATCGCTATTGGTCCGGGATTCGACCCATGATAGGGTCACCCCCCACTTCTTCAGAGCTTTTTAAATAAGTACTACGATGTGGGAAGGAAACAAGAGACTATACCATGTTTTTCCGCATAACTGCTATAAATTCGTAACTACCTATAAGCCAAGGCACTGCTAGCTGATGGCATTGAAATGGAAATCAGTGTCCCACCATTAACTTCATGAAACGAAGGATGTCATAAATCGTCGCATCATGAAAATATAACATCGATATTCCAACGGTTACAAACCTTCCTTTAATTTCCTATAGATTAGTCATTGACAAGACTCCACTTTTAGCCATTGATATTGTCATAATGATCATAAATTGAACACTAGCCACTGATTAATCAGCTTTAAATCAGTGTCGTCCATTCTTAGCAGCTAGTAAGGGGCTGAGCTTTCTTATCTTTTAACTCAGATTTGTATCATTTATTGGTTGTCGATCATTTTCCGTTCGGATCACAGGCAGCCAGCTGCATGTGAGCTCATCTGGGTACGTTGAATACTGGCTATCACCCGTGAGCATACGGTTGATCATTAAATACCATCACTTCTTGACATTATTTGTTACTGGTAATTATTCAGAAGCTAGCCGTCCTTTTCCCCAGAGGTATTCGGTGTTAAACATGGAGAATTTATAATTTGACGTTTATGATTTAGCTTGACTTGCTCTGTTTCATAGCCTCTTGCTCCGGCAGGTGAAGGGCAAGGGCGCCATTTTGGTGAGCTCTGACATTTTGACAGAGTCTTAGGTTAAGACTTATCGAATCTGTTACTGTCTCCATTTACATACCATAAGGTAAATCTTTCTTTCCTCCTCATCACTGAGAGATCTTCGCCACTAGACTCCCCCATCATAATTCCCTTGCTTCGTTGCAGGTAGGTAGCAGTGACTGGTACAACAGGACGACGACGACAGATTGTTCATGCATGACGCAGTGGCGGACGACGGCTGTGGCGACGACTGCTGACTGATGACTACCACCACGCGCACGTTGCGTTGTTTAACTTAATCATCAACATATCCTTTGCACGTTGCTGCTTGCCTGACACTCGTCTGATCGTCGTCGTTGTCGTTGGCTGCCAGCCTGCCTAACTACTACCAGCTCAGTGTTGTTGTTCGTCATCGGCGTCGTCAGTCAAATCTTCCAAGCAAGTCGTCGTCCGTAATCATTTCGGTGGTGTGCCTTTGGTCATCATCGTCGAACGTCTCGAAGTTTACTTCTGTATTTTCTTCCGTTCGTCGTCAGCTGTAGCCTCACCTCGTCGTCTTCTGCCATCACCTCGTTTGTTGTTGTTGCTGACTGGCAGTCATCGGTTGTTCCC